GTACCGAGAGGGACAGGAATCCTCACAGGCATGAGCCAGATTCCATAGAGAAAGGTTTGGAGAGGGGTGGAAAAAGGCACGGTATAAGCCATACAGCAAGGGCGGAGGGGGGTGGGGGGTGGGGGGTGGGACATAAAAGACACGATGCATTCCCACGCCGGGCGCCATGAACCTGTTGAAGTGGAAGAGAGGCGGGCAAACCTCTAGTGAACTAAAACCACCACCAATTCCCACGCCTCGGCCTCAAGAGGAGCGATGAAATCTTCACCAAAGCACTACCACCATGCAAGAAGACCACGCGCCTCCATAACCAAAGGGACACCCGTACCTCCCCAATAACTAGAACGATCCACGCCAGCGATGACCAATATGAAACCACCGAACGCAAAATGCTACGGAAGCGCAAACAACCCCCCTTCAACCACTCCCGTTCAGAGCACGAATCCACAGGGCACCAAGCTCCAGCATCTCAACTCAATCCTCCACGCAAAGACCGCGAGCCAATCAGGAGAACAACACCATCCAGTAACCGAAGCGCAGTATGTCGCCCGCACGACAAAGGCAAATAGCGAGTCTGAGAACGCAGCAATGGCACGTATCACCATGCTGCAATACCCCCTCCATCGAACTACGAGGCTCAAGGAGCGAATCTCGCCATACACCAGCGTACCGTCGACACCGAGGGAGGAATGTAACAGACACTAGGCCGCCAAAACGACGGAGCATATGCCACAGGGCACGAGAGGTCCGCCAGACAGGAAGCATGCACACTAAGCATCAGCAGCACCTCCGCATCCCAAACACCCATCCCGCGAAAAGTGAGGAATGGTCGGGCGTACATCAGAAGGGATCACGGACCAACGCAGAAGCACACAGTATGCGCGCCAACGGAGCGGACCCAAGATCCCCCTCTGTCAGCCAGACGTCGACTTCCACAAAGAGGAGGAGAACATGCGACAGGAGCGCTTATATCATGCGGTGGACATTGCAAAAGAGCAGTCCCCAGTCCCATATCCCAAGGAGGACCACGAAATCTCAAAAACACCCCGCCGGGGGAAGCCCCCGATACACAGCGGTAGGGATACAAAACCGGAGGGTCACAAAAGACCCGGTACCCGTTCGCTCAAACCACACACACCCATCAAACAAAATATATTTCTTTTCCATCACTTCCGATTTCCACCTGTAATCTTTTATTTTTCCTCACTTCCGATTTCCACCTATAATTTTTCTTTTTTCTTTTTTTCTTTTTCATTATTATTCCATGCTTCCATCCTTCCACCTCACTTTTTACCATCCTCTGCTAAACCAACTAATACATTCTTCCAAATAATCCCATACCCCCTCAATACCTTTCCCACATAGGGCCCTCCAGAAGGGAGATTGGAGGCAAGCAGGGCGGCCGGTTTCAGGGGCAAGCATGGGGTCATTAGCAGATAATCTGAAACCACCATCCTTCAGTATGTATGTGTGTGTGTGTGTGTGTGTGTGTGTGTGTGGCCCTCCCCTTCCCCGCTAGGGGTAGCATGCTAGGGCAGGTAGCAGGTACCTGCCCCAGGCAAGGTACCCACTAGCCACCCTGGCAGCCTTACCGGTAGAGGCCATCAGGACACACAGACAGACAGAACATCATAACAAAATCAGACGAAAAATGTGGAGTGAGATCATCTTACCCGAAATCGTTGTCCTACTGCCGCAACATCCACTCTGGGAGGAAGGAAATCCTGAGGGGAGTTAAGGACTCGATTTACACAATTAACGCACCCACGCAGAGGAAACCCATTGTGAACCATATAGGTAACAACCGTAAGGATTTCTTCAGCAACATCACTGGGTCTGGTGCGAAGGACCAAGATAGACGAAACCTGGGCAAGAATGATATTCAACGATTGTTGGATATGTCTATTAGACGCGTACTTCACATACCTCACCACAGGGAAATTTAATGACAGGCGTTTGCCAAACTTCGTGGTGTAAAATGTCCCAGCGGAATTAGACATGACGACAATTGACACGTTCAAAAATTGAGCCCTCAAACCGTAAATTTCCCCGGAAGAAGGGGATAGCTCAAAAACCTCCGTCCGGTTTTTGATCTGGATGAGGTGGAGCGGGTATAGGGCGAAGATGCCATCGTCGCCATCCGGAGGTTCCTGCAAGAACTTCAAGATGAAAGGGTTGTTAACCGCATGGAGGTCATCAATGTACCTAAACATGTGTTTGAACAACGGGAGGAGATGCAACGCTCCCCTGTCTACGAGCCTCATAATCAGGCCGAATTCATACTTGAAAAAATACACAGTGCACCAGATGGGGGAACATGGCAAGCCCATGGGGATTCCCGAGACCTGCCTCCAGAAGCGCCTGCCAAAGGTAGTAAAGCAATGAGACACTAACCAATTAGTAAGTGTGATGATCTCCCCAAGATCCAACCAGAACCTCGAGAGGGAGGGATTATCACCCCTTGTTTTGACCAGGGAGCACGTGAATGAACCATCCCAGCGTACTCTACATTTCACAAAATCCCCAAGGGATTTGGAGGAAGTAGTTTTGAAAGCAATCCCCACAAAAAAGGTGACAGTAGCCGTTCGGCTATCAGGTGGATGTGTCAATAGGAATTGTTTCAAAACATCTCGCAATGTCTGCAGAAAACACAGAAAATACTTCGTCCGGGAGATTGAAACAGTAATCCTGGACCGAATCAACAGACCACCATATGGACGCATCAACCCCATGAAAACTCCGTAGGCCGTTCATGATTTCTTTGCACCTGGTCATGACAAGAGGAGTGAGGCATTTCAAGACCGCATCACACAAGCACGCCACCGGGGTGAGGAAGGAGAAGGAAGCATTAGTCAGTTAACAAAACGCAAGCTTATGGTGCTTGTATAAGGCCATGAGGTAAGGAAGTTTCCTTGGACCCATGGGAACAGCAGGGACGATCTTGCTGAGGGAGGATGCAGCCTCATCCAAGATTTTCTCTTCCGTAAGGGAGACAGGCACAAAATCAACACTACTCAGCCTCTCTAGTGCCATTTTCCTTACAAGATTAATACAAACAAACGACAGCGTGTTAGCTGACTTTTCCGTTCCAGCAATGAATAAACGTTTGGACAGAAATTCGATCTCGTGCTTAACAGCATGGGTCTCTATGACGCAGGGGGGGTCCTGGTGCCTCCTCAGATGCGAAAAGCCAAGCTGTGCCCTAAGTTCCACTGAAACGAACGTAGACACCCTTGACTGCATTGCAGGGGTGATGAGCATCCGGTTGGTGAGGAAGGAAAGGATGGCACGCCAGGCTTTAAAAAACTCATGAAAGGCTGCATGGGGATTGGCAGGGCGGGGGGGAATGTGATTAAGACCATGCGACATGAGCTCCACTAGTTTAGGAAGCGCAGAAATGCCCGGATCGAGGGAGAGGACATGAGTGGAGGGGGAGGAGAAGGGTTGCGACATGCTGCTAGTGCAGGGGTGGTGAAAGGGGAGAAACCGCTTTGTGAAGCACGGGCAAGAGGGCCGGCCTTCACATGCTTGACACCAATCTTCAAGCACAAAATCCCTGAACACAGAGGCAGGCTTGTATAAGACTGCATCAAGAGAGCTCAAGTACGTCCAGCCAATGACAATGCGTGACAACAATGTTTTAGCATCAGGGGGAAAAAATTGATCAATAGCCATCTCAAGCATAGATCTGAACCGAACTGACTCCATAATCCTGCTTGTGTATAAGACATGCACGAAGAACTCCTTCCCCTCCTCCGGTGTTTTCTGCCATTGCACCGGCCTGAGGGATCACGAGACGTGAATCCCCCAAGTTCTTCAACATCCTGCAAAACGAAATGAGAGACACCACCCACACCCATCAGGTCTTAAACAGTGATGCCCTGGCAATGCCCAGACCCCTCGGACTCCTCCGCAAAGGTCTGTTGCACGCAGACGCCTGCCCATCCTCCTGAACAGTGATGGAAGAGGACGGAGGAGTGCTAGCGGCAGAAGGCACAGGATGATCCTGGGAGGACGCAGAGGATCCTCCGCGAGAAGGGGGGACATAAAACTCTAGGATGGATTGTTGCGCCGTCTTCGCTTTCTTGGCTGATGCAACAGGAGCAACTTCCAGAGTCGTCTTCTGGGCAGTGCGGACGTAACGAGCAGGAAGGATAAGCTTAGCCATGGTCCGGGGGAACTTGTGGAGCATGATGGCCGGATCATCAATGATGTTCTGCGCCGTCCTGGAAGGATCAATAGTGACACTAAATGCCATTTTCACCATCACCTCCCTCATGTGTGTGAACACCACCATCACCTCCCTCATGTGTGTGAACACCACCATGGACAAGACAGCAGCTTGCCACGCAGACCTCGCCCTGACTCTGAAGGCACGAGAGCGAGCCCTGAGAGACGGGGCCTCCGGGAACAGGTAGAAAAGATCAGAGAGGAGGTACCAAAAAACATGATCGAACCAAGAGATATTCTTCCCACGATTCCCCTTCCCCTCCGCCACACATTGACACTTAACATACGGGCGACCGACATTCCAGATGCGTTTCAACTCCGCAATTGTCGTCTGCACCTTCGGCCCCAGAAAACCCCTCAAAGCGAGTGCCGACGCAGACACCCCACATTTAGACCGGTCAAAATCCCCAATGACCGGGAGCTTCATTGCATTAGGGGTGAGCGGGTAATTCCCCTTAATCAACTCGATGTTCTCCGTAAGGGCCTTCTCCCTGCATTTCTTCATTTCCTCACCTGTGAGAGATGCTAGGAACCTATAAGAATCAGCTTGAATCGGGGCAATGTAATTGAACGTGTACAGGTCCCAAAGTTTGTCCTCAACGGACCTAGACTGGGCCTCCACCCATCTCGACGGGACCGTAGGGAGGAAGGCATTGCGTACATACTTGTTGACCGAGGTCTTCTGATTAGCTGCGATCGCCTTCACCCTGTCCATCCTTCCTTCCTCCAGCAGCCTAGCATGGTAAGTTTTCTCCTCCTCCGTCAAAGCAAGCGAATCATCCTCCAGATCCTCCTCCTCACCAGACCCCACACCCTCCTCAGCTGCCGCGGGATCCTTCTGGATCAGGCCGGAATGAAAATTGGACTCCGCACCAAACAAGTCAACAAACACCTTTTCCTTCATTGCTAGATTACTATCCACACACACCGAGACCAACTCATCCTCGTTCGCAATGTCCTTCGCCCTGGTAACCAAGTACTCAGTGAGCTTAAGGAACGCAGGCTTATCATTCGCCGCCGTCCACAACAGGTCAGACCACTGATCAAAAGATAGAATGGTGATCAAAGGGGGAGAGACATCCACTGAATACAATCTAACGAACTCAAGGATCCTAGGGGAGGCAAGAGAGATGAGAGCCTGGGTGGGGCGGCAAGGCGCCGGAAACAGATCGAGCCACTTCGAATCACCCTCCAGCAGGTCAGTGTACCACCCATTGTCGGAGAAGGAAGGTACGTGTCACAATGACAGACACACACCAGGTGAGGGAAATGCATACCCAGTCCATAGAACAGCAAAAGGGCAAAAGGGCCGAATCACCTTTGGGGGATGCATCAAGCCATCACGAAGCCATTCCTCACGATGTAAATGCAAATACAGAGATGTTGGTAGATACGCGAGGGAGACGGCAGCGTGGCAATAGGGATTCGCAGGAAGGGAAAAATCCCTGTGGGTGTGTTATGTTTCTATTGCGAGGCTCATGCGACAAAGTCACAACACACTACGTCCCGATTCGGGTCTTCATGAACAACACTCAAGAAAGTTTTGCACTACAACCAGGAGATCGCCAAAAAATGATGGTGGAAGATTGACATCAGAACAAGCAAAGGCAGTACACGTCCCATAGCCAAACTGAGGAATGTTCACAGAACAGATATACATCCTAGCAGTAAGCACACACAAGAAAACGATACACCAAATCCAACCGAATTGCCATAACGGCCAGGACAAGGGCCACCACCAGGGAGGGACCACCAGACCACCCATCAGAAACCACCCAGATCCATCAGAAGGACCACACACCCAGTGGATAGAATCCTCATACCCCATAAGCCACAAGGAAACACCCGCCGTTGCACAACCAGCACGTTAATACAATACGTGACCAGGGTGAACACCTGAAATAATTCGCCAAAAACACCTCGAAAATTATTAACCTCGAGAACACTCGGACGCCATCAATTATTCCAAGTGAGTGGCGCAGCAAGCTCCAGCACCTCCATCCCTCAACAGAGCTACTGATCTTAAACCGAAAAGAGCACTCCACGCATTTTAACACTACCCTACCCATCACTGGCAAATTCCCAGTTCAGCATGAAGTACACATAATCCGATGCCCACTCCCCGAAGAAAAAACAATCGGGTTCATCATCTCCCACATAGTATATGGAGTAGGTACTCAGCATCCCGACCGCACGCACCAACGCCCAACGACAGGCCAAACCGCATTCCACCTGCAGGAATCACACAAGTCTCCCACACAACAAACTCGAATTTGAAGAAGCGCCCACCGAAAGAGGATCACCCACCACAACGACACACCCTAGCAAGAAAAGAGTACTCCATGCCGATATACACTAAGCCACAACCATTCAAGTATCATCCGAGGAGACCAGACAAGCCGGCTTCCAAAACAACACGCCATCCCAATACCCAAGACAATGATGACGCACCGACGAACACCACATCCATCCGCAAGGGGACATACTACTAAGCACCCCGCTCTCTCTCAGGCACGTCAGCACCCATGCATCACTACGCTCCAATACCATGGGATAAACATGAGGGCAAAAGAGACCTCCATCCCTGAACCCAACACCAGTCCTCAGCATCACCCACCTCGGGACCTGAGGGTGGCGAAAACAGCAAAAACCCCATTCAGTAAATGAGAGGTGTCACCAAAAGCACCATTCTCACAAGCGACACCCAATCCGTCACCCCTGATGAAGTCAAGAACTTACAACCACTGATCCACCAGAAACCAAGCCCAAGTCTGTGCACAACGAAGCCACTCCAG